TATAACCCCAGCCTTCAAAACTTTATTGATGACATCTTTTTTCTGTACAAAAAAGAAAACATACAAGGCGGGGGCAGGGGGGGGGGGGTTATAGTAATTGGGGTATCTGTCTTATTCATTTTAATTATACTTAAGTTATAGCAAACACAAAATCTAAACAAGAGGCCCATGGGCCACATCGCTCACCTGAGCACTGTGGCTAGGAAAAAGTAGAAATTAGTTTATTATTGAAAAGTTAAATCCAAAAGTAGTCCCATATGACCAATCATGCCTTTGCTATTCTCAAGAGATGATTTTTAAAGAATTTTTCTATATATTTCTATGAAAAACTGTGGTCAGCCATTGTGGCCCAACCCTACCCCCTGGGGGTCATGATTTGAACAAACTTACGTCTATACTACCTGAGGATGCTTCCATATAAATATGATCAATCATGGCTTTGTTATTCTCAAGAAGAAAATTTTTAAAGAATTTTCCTATTTATTTCTATGTAAAACTTTGGTCGGCCATTTTTGCCCCGCCCTTCCCCCGGGAGTCATGATTTGAACAAACTTGAATCTACATTACCTGAGGATGCTTCCATAAAAATGTGAGCAATTATGGCTTTGCTTAAGAAGAAGATTTTTAAAGAATTTTCCCATATATTTCTATGTAAAAGTTTGGTCGGCCATTGTGGCTCCACCCTACCCCCGGGGGTCATGATTTGTACAAACATGAATTTACACTACCTGAGGATATTTCCCCATAAGTTTCATCTTTCCTGGCACCTTGGTTCTTGAGAAGAAGATTTTTAAAGCATACCATCAAATTTTCATTAATTCCCAATTATCCCCCCTTGAATGAGGGCCTGGCCCTTCGTTTGAATAAACTTGAATTCCCTTCACCCAAGGATGCTTTGTGGCAAGTTTGGTTGAAATTGGCCCAGTGGTTCTTGAGAAGTTGAAAATGTGAAAAGTTTACAGACAGACGGACACCGGACAAAATGTGATCAGAAAAGCTCACTTGAGCCTTCGGCTCAGGTGAGCTTAAAATGTTATATCAATTTGATCAATTTCTGAAATTTTTAGCTAAGTTACAGATTAACACACCTTTATATATTTCTGACAGTTTTTATGTTGTATACCTGAGATAGGTAACACTTTCTTGTACACCCCAGGGTATCCTCCGCTGGCTAGCACCACCCCCGCTGTATACAGGTCCGAGGTAAACTGTGGGAGGTTGTGGGTGAGTTTTCCCTCCACACAGGCTTGACATATTTCATACAGGTCAGACTCCAGTAGAGGCAGGATCGACTGAAAATATACAGAAGTAAGAATAATAAAGAATTTATAGAATACATGAAAATATACACTAGTCAGATTCATAAATTGTCAGAATGGCCTGATAATATACAAAAAGTCAAATCCATAAAGAATGTACTGAAGAGAGGCAGAATTACACTTATATACATGTATAAAGTACATGGTAAATATATGGAATTATAAAAAAATTAATTTTGTACTCATCTGGATTTTAAACTTAATATTTGTTATATTCTTTAAGTTTTCGGAAGTCATTAATAGCCATTCTCTGTAACCACTTAAACTTTGTTGCCACGCATGGTCACAGATTTTGATGAATCTTCACCCATGCTTAGTTCTTGACACCAGAAACAAATATCAAACAAAATTTCGTTGCTATGTGTCTCGGTTGCTATGGCAACAGCCGGAAAAGTTTGAAAAATCAAGATTTTCAGCCATTTTAAATCTTGACTGTGGCTTAATAAAAACTAGAAAAAGCAAACAAACCATTCTAACAAAAACATGACACCTTGATGTCACTTATACTGTAAAGAAACTGTTTAGAATATATCTCTAAGTAAGTGGTAACCAAGGGTACATTTGGAATACATTTAAAATGCTGAAATATGCTGAAAAACACTCCGTATTCACTAATGGTAGGTGTTACATGCTCAAACTCAATCAACGACTTAAGAAAAGCAATGAAAATGTTTGACCTTAAGTATATAAGTGTAAGCAATATTATTCTGTAAATAACTTTTATGGTTGCCATGGTAACACAGTGTAACCATGCAAAACCAGTAACTAAGATTGCGTTAATGCTACTGTCTTGAGGAAAAACATGAAAATTCAAGACTGGCAAATATGCATCCTTAGGACCTTGCAACACCAAAACCATAAGAAAAATTGGGTATAATTGCTACTTTGCAGTGTTACCATGGAAACAAAGTACCAGTGCTTAAAAGTGAATTATTTTTCGCTGCATTAAGAATTAAATTGCCATTTAATCAAGAAACAAATTAAAGGACTCAGCTTGAATAGTACTTATCTGTTAGAACTGAAGTTGAATATCATATGTTGATAAAATTTGATGAAGAAAACAACACTTTGCAATGGTTACCAAGAAGGGAAAATGTTCGATTTTGTGAACTTTATATCAGTATTAAACCCTGTGTGCCAACTTCTTGCATCCACTTAGAGATTGGATGATAGTCAAAATTAAAAGGCAGGTTAGCTGTTAATAAATATCAATCATAAAAGTTTTGGGAATCTACATTTAAGGGTACGTATCCAAGGAAAGAAAATATTTTTCAGGTTTTTAAGCATATATTTTCTGCTTATTTCCATAGCAACGCTCTATTTAAAGAATCTAATCTGAATTTTTTCAAATGGGAAAAATAGGAGCACACCAACATCTTTAAAAATTGATCATTAGTTATGAGGAAATGTGCTTTTTTAAAAGATAGGATCAGATTTAAACATACAGAGTGTTACTTTGACGACTCTCTGTGGTATAATAACCTTGGCAACCATTGCCAACCAAAATAAAATATCATATTTTGTTCTTGGTATGTGATTCAAGGCTCTTTTTTCTATTATTTGGTCACAATTCATCCTATAATTGCTTTTTATTTTTACGTGTATGACTTTATAAAATTAAATGAATATTTTTTTTTACTTTTGAATACTTTGTTACCATAGTAACGTATGTAATAGTTGATTTACCAAGGATGTTTATCATGCATTTGAGACATCTGACCTTCAACTTTTGGAAACAATCATTGCCAATTGTTTGCTTTGTCGCAAATGTTATCTATGGGGCTCTAAACATGTTAAAAAATGCCATTTTTCGAACTTTTAGACATGTTGCCATGGTAACTATAAAACATAGCAACCAATTTTTGCCTGATTTCAGTTTAGGGTATCAATGACTTTTATTATAGAGAGTTTGGAGAAATTTTGAGACTATGCGTGCCACAGCTCCTATATAAAATTTCAAATCATTACAAAGAATGGCTCTTAAATACCAGTAAACATGATAAAAGCAACAAATACAAATGAACCTTAATAATTACTGATAACTTACATATCAATTTTACTGTCAGTAAAAATTAAGGCACCTCTCTCACAATTTGATTTTTTTAATTTTCTTATCTAATATATTAATTTTTTTATTAACTTTGCCTTGAGAACCAATGATTTAATTTCTAGTGGCCTTTAAATATTGTCAAAACATAAAATTATTTCAGAATCTATAAGTGTTAACATTTGTTTTTATCCTTTTCTTTAAAATTACATTCTATAATTCTAGAGCTCAGTTATGAAATGAAAGTGGATTTAGACAGGGTTTTCCGAACTATTTATATATAGCACCTGGTAATTTTCATATCTTAATCTGTAAAAATGGACCCCATTATCACGTCTCCAATGTAAGTTTTAATGTATACTGTACTTAGAACGTCTTCATTAATATGTTTGTATCATTAATGTGATGCATTGATTAACTCTGTGTAAAATTAGCAAAAACATATTTTTTCTTCAGATCCAATTTGTTCTTTGTAAATTTATTATAAGCTCAGGGAACAAATTATGCTGGCACACACTACCGTAAATCTGGAAATTTTTACGTCGATTTTATATTGCGAATTTGGGTCAAAATGGTGTTGATTAATTTTTACGTTTCAAAATTTTGCGAATTACCACTGCTTTGTTTACATTTTCTTACTGGTAATTTATTTTTAAGAAAAATATTTTTGCAAATGCAATGAACGCGCAAATTTGCTAAAAATTTATCTACGGTATTAGATCAACTTTAAATTGATCAAGTTATATTTCCTTTTCTAATTTTTCTCTCTATGATAACTCTTTGAAAGTAAGCGGAGTTCATTCCTTGATAATTCTACCGGAATGTAAATTAGGCAGGTCCATAGGTCAGGAGCTAAGGAGGCATAATATGCATGCCAATCTCATGCGCATCTGTCTCTGAGAGGCCAAATATGCATGAAAATCTCGTGCGGATGCTGTTGTGTTTGACGTCGGTGGACAACGACTATTGAAATTTGGGATGGGAATCCTCATGTAATTTAAATCTATGTCTGCATTTTTAAAGTTTTAATCTACAATTTTATTTTCACAATGAAATGGAAATATAAGGAATCACTGTCTAGTAAGTATTGTATGCCAGGGACATCAACAATAGTGGGTAACATGGGATAATTTATGCATAACGGGCTTTGCCCATTAAGCAAATTATCCCATGTTTCCCACTATTGTTGATGCCCTGGCAACTATGCTAACTAGACAGTGATTCCTTAAAAAATGGAATGTACGTGTTAAATATTATATAAATATTGCATGTAGTTGAGTGTAACATTGAAAATTTTCACCCCAAGAAAACCATTGTCAACCTCGGCTGCGCCTCGGTTGACAATGGTTTTCTTGGGGTGAAAATTTTCAATGTTACACTTAACTACATGCTATATTTATTATATTATACTGAATGTTTTATATACATATAACAGTGAACCGTGCGCGCATAAATTCAGCACAGTCGCTATTTTTTGGAATACCACCCGTCGTCAAGCAATGTTGACTGTTGCTACGCTGGAGGGCGTGGCTTCGTTATTCAGCGGTTAAAAGTGTTTTTTAACAAATGTTTCTCGACCAATCAGATTCAACTAATTTACATGAAATTATAATATTAAAGCATATATATATAAT